GGGTTGGACTGGATGGCCCATGAGGTCTCTTCCAACTCTTTGATTCTATGATCTTTGATGAAGGATGGTGGGAGGTGCATTAAGAGACATGATAGTTATCCCTGGTGTAGGCATCAAATCTTGTGTAGTAAAACCATTGATCCCATTGGATTAGATTATTTTAACTGAATCTTGTTAGTGTTGAAGTGACATTTCAACTTACGGTGACCCTATGACTGGTTTTTCTGGCCAAGGTTTCTTCAGAGAAGGGTTTGCCATTGCCTTCTGAGGCTGAGAGAGTGTGCCTTTTGTACAGTAGGTTTTCATGATTGTGCCTGGATTTGCTCCCAACTTCCAGAGTTACTTACTTACTCAGGTGATCCCCTGTTGTCTGAGTAGGATAATCCTCCAGGGTGGGTGACTGTGGAGCCCTATTCTTGATCTGCATCATCCCCACAGTGAGGGCATTGGTTTCCAGGTGGAAGGTGGTCCCGGTCAGGGTTGGCTTGATGTGCCTTCATTTTGGCACATTTTTCTCTTTCGCCCTCCATTCGTGCCTCTTCAAATTCTGCAGCACTGCTGGTCACAGCTGATCTCCAGCTGGAGCGCTCAAGGGCCAGGGCTTCCCAGTTCTCAGTGTCTATGCCAGAGATTTTAAGGTTCTGTTTTCCGTTCTTGAGTTCAGAGTAGAGCAATTGCTTTGGGAGATGGTGGTCGGGCATCCAGACAACGTGGCCGGTCCAGCGGAGTTGATGGCGGAGGACCATCGCTTCAATGCTGGTGGTCTTTGCTTCTTCCAACACGCTGACATTTGTCTGCTTGTCTTCCCAAGAGATTTGGAGGATTTTACAGAGGCAGCGCTGATGGAATAGTTCCAGGAATTGCATGTGACGTCTGTAGACAGTCCACGTTTTGCAGGCATATAGCAGGGTTGGGAGGACAATAGCTTTATAAACAAGCACCTTGGTAGCATAGAATCATAGAATCAAAGAGTTGGAAGAGACCTCATGGGCCATCCAGTCCAACCCCCTGCCAAGAAGCAGGAATATTGCATTCAAATCACCCCTGACAGATGGCCATCCGGCCTCTGATTAAAAGCTTCCAAAGAATGAGCCTCCACCACACTCCGGAGCATCCCTACGGATGTCCCGGTCCTCAAACACTTTCTGATTCCAGAGTCTTGGTCTACCATCAGACCATTGCTCCATGCTGGCTTCTGTTGGTTAGTTTTACAATTGGTTAGAAGGTCAATTGAATCCGTTGTGGAATGAACATTTGTTTCATATCTCATTGGTTCAGTGGGTTGCAATGATCAATTAGATTTGGGCCTATTATAGAAATTCTCATCTGTGTCACAGTAAAGAATAGAATTGTTTGAAAACCTCACTGAACCTTAGAAGCCATTGTTTACTTTTGCCTTATCATACTGGAATCCAGCATCTTTCCTCCCCATTTTGCACTTTGATTTCAGTTTGCAGCAAGTGACATAAGTAAAGGACAAAAGGGGAGGAGAAGAGATAAGTAGATGGAAAGTGGGACAGCAAGCGATTAATTGGAGCCACTTCTGCCAAATGGCAAAAGTTGGAGAATAAGAAAAAGGAACTTTTTCAAACTCTTGTTGTAACTTACTTACAATTGAAAGTGGAAAGTCAACCCACAAGTGTTGAGTATATAGCGGGTCCTCCATATTCACTATGTCTAAAGGCACAAGATCCCTGCAAAAGTGGGAAGATCTTTTAGAAAATATACTATTTTTTTAATCAAGTGGACATCTCCTAGGAATCCCTTAGGTCTTCCAGAGAGGTTCTACATCAATATCCACTGAACGTTGACCATAGAATCCTGTTAGACGACTTAGAACAGTGGTTCTCAACCTGGGGTCACCAGATGTTTTTGGCCTACAACTCCCAGAAATCCCAACCAGTTTACTAGCTGTTAGGATTTCTGGGAGTTGAAGGCCAAAAACATCTGGGGACCCCACGTTGAGAACCACTGACTTAGAGATTCCTGAAGGTTATATACGAATACAATTAAAACTTGTGTGCCAGTTGCGCCCGTACCTTGGGAAGTCAGGCTTGACCATGGTAATCCATGCTCTGGTTACATCCTGAATAGACTACTGCAACGTGCTCTACATGGAGTTGCCTTTGAAGACTGCTCAGAAGTTCCAGTTGGTCCAATGAGTGGCAGCCAGATTGTTCACTGGAAAAGAATATAGGAAGCATACAACTCCTCTGTTACACCAGGTCCACTGGCTGCCAGTCTGCTACTGAGCACAAGTCAAAGTGCTGGCTTTAGCTTCTAAAGCCCTAAATGGTTCTGGTCCAAATTACTTCTCCGAACGTATCTTCCTCTATGAACCATCACGGAGGTTAAGATCATCTGGGGAGGCCCTGCTCTCAGTCCCACCTCCTTTGCAGGTCTGGTTGGTGGGAACGAAAGACAGGGCCTTATCAGTGGTCGCCCCTCAGCTATGGAACTCCCTCCCTCCCTACCTTATCAGTGCCCTCCCTTTTGGTCTTCAGAAAGAAAGTAAAGACAAGCTGGAATGTGTCCAGAGGAGGGAAAATGATAAAAGGTCTGGAGAACAAGCCCTATGAGGAGCGACTTAAGGAGCTGGGCATGTTTAGCCTGAAGAAGAGAAGGCTGA